TGTGTCCTTGGCACCCACGACACAGGGTTTCCCTACTGCGCGGCTATGTTGAGTGTATGCGTTATTATTATTATTTACTTATTTATACCCCTCACGTAGTATGAAACAGTCGCCTTTTAAAAGGAAATGGTCTAAATCGATAATTTAAGTGATATTAGTGGTATGAATACAGATTCACCCTTAGTAGAGCCAATTAGCAATAAAGGCAACTGTTTTTTACATTTCGCATTAAAAAAAAAGTTTTTCAATAGTTTTTTTTTTAATCTAGTAATTTTTCATTTGCAAGTAATACACGTTGTTATTAGGCTTAGGCCGTGTTCTTTTTGTTAAAAAAGATCCTAAATATTAAAATCTTATGTACAGGATCGGTTTATTAGTCTGAATTGTTTGAAATGTATAATTTTATAACCTCCGAAGATATGGAATAATCTTTTGCACATTTTTCACACAGTGCATCATTATAAGTTAGTTCTTGGTCCGTGTCTCGTGTTGACCTTAACTCCTTACCACCTGTAATTTTCGATGGCGTTCGTATTCCGTATTTGGACACAGTCAGTGATTTGGGGGTAATTCTTGATCGGTGTCTTACATGGAAGCCGCATGCTGCTGAGGTTAGCAAGATGAATATTTTTCACTTAGGAGACTTAAGAACCTATTAAAACTAAAATATACTGGCTCAGAGCATCCTATCTCCGATACTGGATTATGCAGATGTATATTGTCCGGATTTGACAGTCTCCCTACTTAATAAATTGGAATAGCTCCAAAATATGTGTGTAAGATTTATCTTCGAACTTCGTAAATTTGACCATGTTTCCCAGTTTCGCGCACTACTTAAATGGCTGCCCACCTACCGGCATAGAAATCTTCACAAACTTTCCCTTCTTTACTCTATTTATTCTATCCCTTTACGCTTCTTCACCTTAAAGAACGTTTTACTTTTCACTTTTCTACGCTCTGCCGTCCTCTTCTGACCTCTGACACATACTAAACGTCTCTCTCATGCTTCCGATTATTACTCCAACTCGTTTACTGTATCTGCTATCCGGCTATGGAATTCTCTCCCTGAATCAATTCGACAATTCCCTTCTGTTGATTCGTTCAAACGACGTGTTAAGGAACATTTCCTTGGTGGTAAGCGAAAGGCCTATCCATAACAGTCATGGTGCCACTCGGAGCTTTAAATCGCAAATTTTAAGGGCACTGCCACTAAGCTCGTAACCCTGAGACTTAAGTTGACAAGTCCCATGTGCCAGTAATTTCACCAGCACCCTTACACTTCCAAACCGAAACGCCGCAATGTTCACATTACTGCTTGGCGGCAGAAATAAGTAAGGTGCTACCACTGGTGCTACTACTTCCCTGGATGAACGCTCAGAAGGAGCTCTACTTATTTTAAATTTTCCAAAGTACATTCTAATTTACGCTATATCTGTTTTACAAATTATTTATTTTTATTTTGAAAATATGAATGTTTATGTAATTAAATTTATTATTTATATATATTATATATAGGAAAATGTGCGCGAAAACCTAGGAACTCGATTTGAAAATGTACGTTTTTAACTTAAAAAAAATTGTGCAGGTTCTCTGCTCAGGATGTGAAGAAAATAGCTTCCTTCGGTGTGTACATCATATTTTATATCTTATATTGGTAGCTTCAGTTTTGGTTGTGCGTGGACACAACTTACTATTATATATCTAGGTATATTTATATATAATATATTGTATTGATATAATAAATAACAAAAGTAATTTTATTAACAATAAAACTTAGAAATTATAAATTGAGTGACATAAATAGCATATGTGTTAGTATTAATTGTGTATTAGTTTTGTTAAAATTGAGATTGGTACGGTATTACTATCGTTTATAGTAAGAAGTCTTAGAAATAAGAAACAAATATAGTCACGAAGAGACGCACGTGTGCGGCACCACAGACGATGACATCAACGTGCGCTTGGTCTTAACCATCTTAACCACGTAATAAAATAAACCCCTTAAAAGATTATAAACCCGTTTTCATAGTTCAAATTTCGAACTATCCTATATTCGCCTCAACCTTACACAGTGAATTTGTTTTTCCAATAAATAAATATAATAAATATTAAAAAAAATATATTTCTGAAATAATCGACGTTCTAAATATTACTACTTTTCTAAAACGACATTTTTTTTATGAAACACATATCGTATGCTCTCTTGTTGCAGTAAAATTGAATTTTAGAGCTGTATTGAGATCACACGAGGCCGTAAAGATAGTTTCATTTTTTTTGGATATCGAAATTATACAACGAAGCATTAAATCGCTTCCATGAAAACGATAACTAGAAACCATAAACATAATTTACCTCCATCGTGAAAAATGCAATTTTATTTCTAAAATTGTATTGATATACTCTGTGTTGACACTGAATGTAATCAAATCACAAATATTTATTGAATAATTTTAGTTTCAATACCGGGTATTAATTTTTTTTAATGAATAAGGTAGGAAGACGCCATTCTGTGTTTTACGTCACTACACTTACACATTAACAGCCCCGAATACTATGAGTACCAACATACTATAACTGATATTGATAGCAGAGGAATTTTAAACCAAGCATTTTGGAAATTTCTTAAGGTGTATATGCACATACACTCGTATGTAGGAGTATAATCATATACGAATATAACCTTTTGGCAAAAGCAATAGAAAGACCCCGATTATAAAAAAATACGGTTAAAAATTGCGGAACTGCAGAATACGTATTCATAGCTTGAGATCAAAGTTTTCAATTATTTCAACAACAATGAAAAACGATCAACGAAGTAACCATGTTACTAAAAACGCCATCTGACTACGGAGCGGTGAACTAAGTGCAACCACGGAATACTGCGTTACTTCGGCGCTCGATTTGTCGCTGTATATTATCCTCTATGGGAATACGAAAATGACAAAAATAGGAGCACTTAGGCGTAAGCAGACCGTAAGGTCTGCTTGATTGAATATTCTGTGAATACAATGTATTGAAATTGTGCAATTGGGTTTCTTCCTCTTGTAAATAAGGTTTTTGTATTTGAAATTGCATCTTGCATACATCCTTCCGTCTGCCTTTCTATGAATAGAATGATTATTTTTGTACCCAGTACATGATAGTACAAAAACTTTAATGCTTATATTTAGCGAGATCTTTCACTTGATTATTATTCATTTTCTTGTACATGCAATAACTTGCGCCTGAATAAATAATATTGCAGTTTTACTACAAGAAGATTAAGCTTCTCAACCAGTTAGTCTGAAAGTGATCTTATCGAAATGAAAATGACAATCGATATAGGTGTTTTAACAAAAACTGTACATTTTAATAGTTGCATCTATATGATCGTGATATTATGGTCACGGTAACCTAATGAACGACGTCAAGCGATAAAATGCTTCACGTGGTCTCGTGTCGACGCTCGCTACACGTGGTCATTCGCGCTGATATCATACACACACAAACACAAGCAACAATAACTTATAATAATATTGCTCATTGAGTATAGAGCACGTATACAATGCTGCTATCTTTGCATCGATTGCCCTCTCTCACAAGAAAACGACGTGCAGATTTCAAAGTGGAAACAATCCTCCGTGTAGAAACTAGATGTACCGAAAAGCGTGTAATTAAATTACTGATAAAAGAGAATGCCCATACGGACATAAGAAATTCCTTTGAAAACATCTTAATTGAGTTTGGATCGGAGAAGTACCTGTACCAAAGCTGATATGAATGTCGATTCAATGGAAAAGGTGAATCAAGTCCAAGTATGAGCAACGTGATTGAACTGAGCGACCTTGACCGTAGCAAGGTGCGCTACTAGCGCAGATACATGCGGTCAATTGCATTTTGAGTTATCCTCGAGTTTTTCTGTTTCAATCTAAATTTAAATTGAGCTGTATTTACATAGATGTGTAACATATTGGTTCAATTTTATCACCATAATAATTTATACGCTTTTTATTTAGGTGAATTGTTATTTGTTTATATTACCTGATTTTAACTAATACACTTTCGACGCACTTGTAAAGTCCAGTTAAATCTTTTTATAATCATTTAATGTTTTAACATAAGTTATAATATTGTTCTCTGCAAACATCAGTTTGGCTTTCCGTTTAAGGGTTGCAAAATAAATCTTTCGGTTAGTTTTTCTGTCGATGTCGCAATAGTGACTTTAACTATATTTAACATATTGTAATAACTTTAACCATAACTTAATATTATAAATAACTTTACGGTTGTTTGAAATTTTTCATCGATATCAAAAGTGCCCAAAAATTTCATTTCAGATCAAAATGTCCTTATCTACAAGTACCTAAACGCCTCCCCGCGGGGTGTATACATTTACACATTAAAAAGTTACTTGCCAAATTTTCAAGAGGTCGCTTCTCGTAAACAGAGATACGCGTAGTCGAAATCATATACTAATACATGGAGACGCTGTATGATAGAACCCTCGCCTACCCAAATAAATGGGTAAACTTTAAAAAAAATCTAATTTTTGCATTGTACTCGTAACGAACTAAAAAATAGCCACATACATTTAACTATCAGCCAGTCCAGTGCAAGTGGCAAGTAGTAGTGGACCAAACAAAATAAATAACAAATTATCGTTTTTGATTGCATTGGCTAATCAGCGTTTTATGTTTAGCTGCGATAGGGCGCAGTCGAGTGTAGTCTAGCTTGTAATTGCGTGCATGTGAGGTGTTCAAATAAAAAGTTATGTTATAGGTATGAATTGGTCCCTGTAACACCTGTTGCTTGATGCTGTAAATATTTTGGTACATAATTTTCGACTTATGTCCAATGTTATTGTTGCCAATATTGATTGTATGAGTGAATAGGTAAACCTGTAGGCTGTCCACATGTTCTTCAAATACGGCGTCTCTTACCTTACTACCCGCGATAACCATATTAAGTTGTAACTTTTGGAGATGTGAAGTGAAGACTGCAATATTGCTATGGTATCGTACCTGTAGGTATACAATGAGACGTCCATCTGTGATGAGCAGGTAGCGGCACCGGGGCCGACGGTGCTAGGAAGCATCTTTCCTGATGCTGTGTACTATTTGGTCCCGGTGACCACGCGGGCTCCGCTTGTGCCGAGTCAGTGCCCATATCGATATATCCGTGCCGATCCAGACGACGCGCGGGCCTGCAAAGCGACCACACGCCGCCACGATCTTTAACGCACTCAATCGTTGCTGCACACCCTTCAATCTAGTTAACACAACAATGGACGCGACCGACTCGGGAGCGATCCGCGGCAGGATTGAGGGAGCCGGCTTAGCGCTCGGCGCGCACACTCCACGCCACGTGCGTCAGCACGTCGGGCCGCAACGTGCACACCGATTGGCACGTGTGCGTCTCCCGCGGATCTGTAACCCGCGCGCCTACACACCCCCGTACCTGTAAGGGTGGGTACATCATAGTAATCCCACCGGCCCACTACCACATCTCCTACTGCGATACTATTGGCCGCTCGTGTCTGGCCTTGAAACTACTAAGTAAGTTTCAGTGGTTATCAGTAGGTATGTTGTGAGATGAAAACATTCTCGGTAGGAATTGCACTTGAATATATTACTGGATTAATATTTCAATTCCAATTATGTATTAATATCTTTCATATATTATATACTAATAATAACTTCAAAACAATTACTATCACATTTCCAAGAATTTTCGAATTCAGATAAAAATGAAATAAAATTCAACGTAGCTTTATGGAATTCGTAAACCTGGCAACTACCTACCGACAATTTCATTCAAATGTTTGACGGACTTGTACCAACCTTAGACATTTTTGAGACTTAAACCCCATACAAATAATTACAAACAAGTCAATTGAAGGGCAAATGAAACAATCAACAAATCGCCAAGCTATGAGTTGCTTAAAACTTGCGCGACTAATAAATGAAAGCTGGAATAGAAAGTTGTAACTACAATCAGCGTAAATAGCGACTAAATTATTTTAGATTGAATTAATGAAACCATTTATCTACATAATCTCACATAATCTACATTTTCTATTTGCAAACATATAGACCAGTACCGTAAAAGTTTCATAAAACACTATATTAAATCAAATTATACACACCGAGGACATTACAATCAATTATCGATCGCGGTCAATAAACAATAAAGAATTGGATTTATTACAAATATATTGACCGTAGTCATTCAACGGATATAAAACATTGCACCAATGCAATACTCGTTGCACTGCTAGCTGTGACTATGCATAAATGTTACATGAGGAAGTTGAAACATGCTATATTATTTCTAAGTAGACAAATACAGAGTGCCATTAAAAACGTTTAGTTAAGACAAGAATATGCGAAAAACCGACGATGCTTATAATAACATCATGACGAACATCCACCGCACGGACCACATAAACCGCATTGCATCGAGGTACAGGCACGCGTGTGAACGACCAGATATTAAGAAGAGGGTTGGTTCGCCTCCAGTTAAATGCGGAACATCGTGCAAATCGTTTAAGGTTTGCAAGGGAGCATCTGGATTGGGCTGTTCAAAACTAGGGTGCAGTGCTTTTCACTGATGAGTATAAGATTAAATTTTCGAATGGCGATCGATGCATTAGAGTGCGGAGAAGATCTGGAGAACAGGTTTTAGATTCCTGCATTCATGAAACAGACCGTTTTGACGGACCCAGTGTTACGGTCTGGGGCGATATAATCCTACGACGCAAAACTGAGCTCGTAATTCTTAACGAGAGTACTGTGTCAGCTCAAACTTATGTTGAGAATGTGGTACAACCCCACATTATTCCATACGCACAGCAAGCACCAGGCAAACCAGGGTACATCTTAATGCAGGATAATGCTTGACCGCATTTGGCGCGACTTGCATTGCACACATTACCTAACCCTGAAATAGAGATGTTACAGTGGCGAGCCAAGAGTCCGGACCTGTATTCGTGGGATTAGCTAAAGAGAATGTAAGAGAATGTAACATTCCCATAAACACACAACAGGATCTCATAAATGCTCTGAAAACATGCTGGGAGAGGATTCTAGAAGAAAACGTGTGGCGTTTAATCGAGAGCATACCTTCTCGAATAAGGTAATGAGGAAAAGAGAAGACCACACACGATATTAAACAAAAAGCTTAGAAACCTTGAAAACATTATTTTTTCAAAATCTTTCATGTTGTATTAAACTTCAAATATTATTCCTAATAGTTATTCCTATAATTTCTCATTTTTCATTTCATTTCGTTTTTCTTTAAATAAATTATTGCAAATTAAATACTATTTTTGTTTAATTTTATCTAAAATTAACAATTTTAATTAATTTCAGTCAATATCTCTGGAAATATTTTAATAATATTTAATAAATCGATAAAATTAATGTGGCCCTTATTTTGTTTTCAGTTGTTTATATTTAGACTGAAAAGACTGTGTATACCAAAGCGCTAACACATTACTACAAAAGCTTCTGACTGTACCTATTGAAAAATAATTACTTAGTTGTAACTATTTCGAAAAACCATACAAACATTTTGTTTGAATCTTTGTCTATGAATATAAGAGAAGTCGAGTTGATCTTGAATTATTGTATCAAGACATTGGTGGAGCTACAAAAACACTACTGCTTAAGCAGCAAGCTTAGTATGAGCCTGAAGACAAAAGTTATCTCTTCTGCGATCTGTCAATTTTGTATCGAAAATCTCGAGAAAATTTTTGTCTTCGGGCTCATGCTAAGCTCACTGGAACGATCCCAGAGGATGCTTCTTAAGGTGAGTCTATTTAAACCTACATAGTTTGAGACAGCAAAACTGAAAACGGGAGTAACCACGGTCAGATAGTTTTATGTCTTGAGTACGGTACTCTGTCAACATACCAGAGTTGACAATTCCATTATTTTAAATAAAAAAAAAAACAAAATAGCAGACATGAAGTTTGTAGACTGCAAGCGGTTAGGACATCCTTTGCCCAAAGATTTTTGTATTTTAAAGTTGGTTCTATAACAAATATATAATAAATGATTGAAAAATTAAAGATTGCAAATACCTCTCAATTTTAATTGAAAAATAAATTATTTGACCACGTAAATACTTTAAATTATACAGACACCGGAAATTTAATTGAACTGAAAATGTACTTCAGGAAATACTCGAGTTCTCACACACAAACTCTCCCACATATATATAAACAACTACACAACGCACTTTCCTAAGCACACTCACACACACACACCCGCATGCAGATTTTGTCCTTTATAAAATAAAACGTGATTTTTCTAACAAATATTTTGTAGCCGAAATTTATGGAGAGAAATAAACTTATTAAAATCATGGTTTCAACACTTTTTTCTATCAATATCATAGTATCCTATTATGTATACGTTTACAAACATGCTGCATAATACAACTCAGAGTTTAATGTCACAACTGTTTTCTCGAAGCGAACAGAATTATTGTGATTGCTTCTAATTGGCGGTATGCATAAAAAAAACTCCTAGAAGTTTAATCTCCAGTAACCCATTTCTGTGTCTGAATTATATTGTTGCTGCTGTAAGTCGAAATACTAAACTTAGAGCAGCTTGCATAACATCTCCTGTAGATATGGATCGGCGGCGATCCTGTAGTCATTTTGTACGGGATTGTGAATATTTGAAGAATTAAAAATTCGTTGCAAAATATTAGAACCCTGGTAGGGTTAATAAGGCTCGTGAAACTTATAAACAGTTCCTGCAGCAAATTGTCTGCGGTATACAACTGAATAGCACAACAGTGCAAACTAAACAACTGTCCACGTGACTTCGACTACTAGGACCGAACTAAATCGAGGTCGAGTCACGTTTCGGCCCTCCTAAGTCAACCCCCGTATCGCCCTTGCACGTGCCAACACTCAGAAATCATAGGACATTGTAATGTAAACGACAACGTGTCACAGGTATTCTCCATACAAACAATATGCCCCCAATGCCTTCCTGCTTATTGTTTTTGTAAGTTGAATTTTTTAAACTTTCCCAATTCTACAAATAACAACACAACAGTCCTTAAAGTTTGAAGGTTTCAAAATGTAACTTTGTAACAAACAATAACTTCGTCTACGTATTTTTAGGTTTTCGGAGCTCTGTACTCAAATTACAACGACCATAGTTTGCGGCTTCTTTTGAGATATTCATCGATTAAAATTTAAAAAAATGTAATTGTTTTACTATTGTATTTTATGGTTACGTCAACAACAGAAAGAATTCACGAAATTGAATCAGTTTTTCTATTACAACACTAACAACCTTTCCAACTAAATAAACATTCTTAAACGACTTTGTCGCGTTCGCTTTATATTTGATTGCTATACGTCCTTACTAAAAAAGCCGAATTAAAACAAAATAATGATAAAAGTTCCTCACAAATAAGTCCAAACAAAGGTAGTAGTCAGTAGTTTAAAACAATTGTAATTAAGTGAAATTTATATCGAAATTGCTAATTGTTGAAATTAATAAAAAACAAATCTTGTGCCATTTTTTATCACCCGCAGAACCAAACTTTAAAAGTTACTTGTTCTCAGTTCCGCTGTTGTCGTAGCATTCGTTACGCTCGTAGACGCTAGGTAACCACAATAAGGCAGTTTATTCCTACCCGAAATAGCCTACATTTCGCAACGTTTTATTTCCTTGATTGTAATCTTTAGAATATTTTTAGAAAAATTATACAAAAGAAGTAAAATTAAAATGTACAGTATTTATATAAAGTGTTAATAAGATTTTATTTGACTATTTGTTATTTTAAAAGAAATTTTGCACCATGACATGTGTTGACACTTTATTATATTCGTACCGTCTCTTACAAAACTAACGGAAGTGACATATTATTTTGGCAAAAAATAATTATTAACGTCGCAACAAAGCACAATGAGGAATGAAATATTGGAATCGAAACTATGTAAATTACTTTTGCCATCAAAATTGTAAATTACTTTCATTCGTAATTTATTACATTCATTCGTGATAAAGTGATACGTCAAAGATGAGCTATCATAAAATTATCATTAGTGTTTACGGACGAAGAAGAACGTAAGAACGTATTTATAATTTAGTTATAGCAGTGTGTCAATAAGTTATTGGATTGCTGATCATGTATAGATTACTTTTACCAAGTTCAACTGCGAATTTAAGGACGCGCTTCGCTGCTGACCCAAGCTTGATTCGTTAAATTTCCGAGTTGTATTGAAGGACATTTTATTGTTGCAATATTATAAAATCACTCGTTGCCACACGGTCTACGCTAGTTCT